CATTTGACTTGTCGCTTCTTATGTCGTTGGATGACATAGGGAATTTCTAATTCATACACCTCTTTCTTCTGATGTTTCTTTTCATAGGCTTCTAAAGCTTGTCTGGCTATTTCATCTTCTTCTGGTACGTCTACAAACCAGGTTTTCCACTTCTTGGTCCTTTCTTCATACCTTGGATCTTTCTTTCTTGTTGTAGTCGGTTTCCATTCGGGGTGATACTTGGTCCAATCACTCCCCACATTTCCGTATATCACGTTCTTATCAACTATATCTCCATTTGGTTTCAGCTGGGTGCCTTTCTTATACCAGGTATAAGCATCGTCTACTTCATCATAACCTCGGCCGTGTTGGTAATGGGACGCACAGCTATTGCTGTGTGCAGTATATTTGAAACTGTCATACTTTGCTTTGGCCTCGGCGTATTTTACTTGTTCATAATATCGATTATGACATCTGATACATGGTTCTGGATCTTCATCTACATCATCAGGTACAAATCTCTTCATGCACTGGAATTCTTTCGGTCCATCTGAGCACTTCCAATTTGGGTTATAATCGACCTCCATGGCATCGAGCTCCTGGGGTTGATCAAGATCCATCTGCTCTATAATAATAAATGAAAAATCGTTCTTTATAGTCATGATAAAAAACTGCTTAAGTGCATCCGTTGAGCTTTGACACATTAAAATTAAAAGCGTCAAACAACGAAAAATATTTCTTTTCGTAAGCATAAATTTTATTATTTCAATTATTGAAATGCACGCTCTTGAAAATATAAATAATGTTAAAAGCACGAGAGTGATTGCATGGGAGGAAAATACTCGGACCCAAAGCCATTTATGAGTATAACCTATTCTTTGGTCACTCTGGTGCAAATTTAAATTTCAGTATCTTCTTTACTATTGCTATTAGTAATAGTATTACTACTATAATTGTCTTAGATCGTTCCACAATTTTTCAAGATCTGGCAAGTAAGTTTTATTTGTTGACTGTTTTGTTAACAGTTGTAACTTTCTTGACTTTCCAGTCTTAAACAATGCACCAGCACGATTGAGTTGGCTATTACAGATTAGGCAATTTACTAATAAACCAAGAATGAAGCCAATTAATGCTCTGATGAAGAATTCGCCCGTGAATGTAAACATTTTTCGCAAAGCATAATTGATGAAATTGCTTGATATATTTTGTTTATTTTATTTAATGGTTTTTGTGGTTGGGTTTCTGAAAGTAAGCAACTAGTACTTGCTTCTATAGAGAAATCTGCAATTTCACATGTTAATTAGCTATAAATGTTGTCCCTGATCTTGTCTTTGATCCCTTTCTGGTACTGGATTCAAGCGGTGGTGCTGGCTTTCTCTACCTTCTTCATTTTCATTCTTCTCATCTTCATTAGTTTGACATACCAGTTCTGCAACTTGGAGTGCCAGAATGGTAATTATGATATTGAGAACATTTATCTCATTTATCATCTCATCATTGAAACTACAGTGGTATGGTGTCAAGACTTACGATTAGCATGACGTATTCCTCCGTGATTTCCGATGAGTTACACGAACATTTCCAAGCCGCAG